TTTGGTTTTGTTATATATTTATTCATGAATGTTTTGGCTTTGTAAACAGGTGTGTTCCAATAGCTAATTTCAAAACTAACAATTCTGTAATTAAAAAAAGCAAGCACAGCCTATGATAATTCTTAGTCCTCAGGGAAATGACCAAGTTGAAGGGAAAATGCTCAATTAGTACTGATACTTACGTGTTCTAGTTCAGCCATTCCCACACTTTGTGTCCATTGCTTTGCTCCACTATTGTGATTACAAAATAATGAAGCCATTGTTCAAATTTCTTCTCCAGATCAGGGAGACATTCCAGAGCAGTGTGAAAGTGATGCCTTGCATCCGTGTGGGGACATCGTCAATGGAAACCGTGTCACAGCCACTGTGCCAGCAGCAGCTGCTTCACTGCAGGACTTAAGTGAGTTCTCCAGTCAGAAACGAAAGTGAATGCCCTTTTTACATGTCATATGTGTAACACAAAAAGCCAGATATTTAACATTTGGTCGGTATGTATGCTGGTGTGATGGAAAATTTGTCCAAAAGCCCTAATTATGTGAAAGAGGAAGGAAAGTTTTCTGTTGCTTTACTGAATTAGGATGACTTCACCCTTGTTTTGGTCAAATTTGTTTTTAATTTAAATGCTTTTGCCACCCATCCCACCCTCCTGTCCAGCTTTTGGAGGGATGATTTTGTTCTTTTCAGGATAATTCTTCTTTCTGCTCTTGCTAGAAATAAGACTTGAAAGATTTTTGGAGGTTGTGTTTCTGTTTCACATGGTTTATATAGGTCTTGTCTGGATTTTTTTTATATTTTTTTTTCATTTTTCTTGGCTGTGTTTGCAAATTGTATTACCCCAGTGCTGTGTTAATTTTTCGGGTAGATGAAGGTGATGTCAGTGCAGCATATGCCACTTTTCTAATTGCCCTAGATAGAAGCATTATGATTATTTTTATTTAGAGAGGAGCTTTCTAGCTTCTAACAATTCCCAGTATTTAGTTTGCCTATCTAATTACTGTCTGAATGTTGTCCTACTTGCACAGCTTTTTAAATATGCTGGCCACATCAGCAGCATGTCCTGCAATGATTTTCACGGGGTTTGTAAGTACTTTGCTTTATAAATGTAAAGAATTATATTCAGTCAGATTGCTGAGGGGTAAAGAATATAGCAACATGAATTTTAGGATAACAGAGATTTAATGAGAAAGTCCATGACAGGAATGAGAAGTGCATAGAGAGATTTGTCAGCTCTCTGGCCTCTACTTTGGCTTTCCCGTTTAGCTCTTAGGGAGTCATACATCAGAATAAAAATGTTTAGAGGTGAGAAGAAACCAGATACCTAAGAATAACATTGGTATATATGTAAACAATATATCCAGTTGCTTTTCATTTACTAGTAATGTTACAGAGGAACCTAATACTTATTTTTATGCTACTGTAGTAAATAACTGAACTACATAGGTCACAGATGTTAAAATAATTTTTCGCAGTGGTGCTGGATCAAAACCAGATCGAAGAACAGGATAGAGAAGTGGAGAAAAACCTGGAAGAAGAAGAAGAAAAGAAAGCAAGAGAAGAAAGGGGAGAGGGAGAACTACAGGAAGCTTTGGAAAGACAGCAAAAAGAAGAGGAAAAGCTTAACAAAGAGGTAATGATTCAGTATTTTAACTTCTGACAGTAATGCAGCTTTGTAGTGTCATGTATTTTAGGATTGCTATGTGTGTTACTTGATTTAAAATAGACTTTAAGTGAAAGTAGTAGAGGCAAAGTTCTTTTATGATCAACCAGCCTTGATAGAATTTCTCCTTATGCCAAGTAACTTTTTTCACAGGAAGCAGATGGTTTTTCTTCCATGCTTCATGCAGCTGAAAGCTACAGTTCTATGGCCAGAACCATGCTATTGGAATAGGCTATACAGTCACTGTCTTTCTGGTCTGGACTGTTCCTGGTGGGACACCACTGAAACATGTTAATATCCATCTCTTCACTACCTTATGTCAGGGTATCTAGGGTACTTTCTTGGAAGCAGATGTTGTAAGGAGACCTTAAGGAGTTTGCTTAGATCCCTTTGAGCTGTGTTGAAATAGTGTTATGGACTTCTAGGACCAGTATAAAACTTGGGTTTTGCTCCCTCCCACTTCACCTTCCTTTTCCCACTCATAAACCTTGGTTAATTTGATTCCACTGTGCTCACCCTACCCTTCACACCAGCAAACTAGGCCCTTCAAGAAAGTGGCGTACCTGTGTCAGCTCATCTTCAGTTCACATGTAGGTGTCACACACAAATCTCAGGCTTCACAGTATCTCAGACACCCAGACAGCGTTAGAGTGGGATTTTGCGAGTGTCATGTTTGTAATTGAAGCAGTAGCTTAACATTTCATCTTGAAGTGCATGTAATGGGTTTAATGCTGTTTAGACTGGTATGTTTTACCCACATTAATGTAAATTCCTCCTTGTAATGCAGATACCAAAATATATAGGTGGGGTTTTTTTGAGCTGATCAATATTTAATTTTGATTATGTGTCTTAAAGCAGATTCAAGACTCAATGAAAACAGATGAAGAAAAAGAAGACAAGGAGGGGGTAAAATCTGAAAACATTAATTCTGGTGCTGAAGATAATGTAAAGGATCCTACTCCAAATCCATTAGAAAAATACATGAAACTAATTCAGCAAAGGAGGGCAAACAAGGTGAATATTCTCAAAGTGGGGTTCCAAAAATAATATTGACTAAATTTAGATCTTGCTAAGTATGCTTCCAGTGAAAAGAGTATCCCCATTTTTATTTTTTTCCCTTCATTCAGCAGCTTTATCTGACAACCTGCAGAAGCGTGTTTGCATTTGTATTGCAAAACTGCGTTGACTCAAAATAACAGAATCTGAAACCTTTCTTCTATAAGGGCTTTTGTTCTGTGTCCTGTGGGGGAGGGGTTGGCTTGTTTGTTTGGCTTTTAGGTACTAGGGCAATATTTACATTTAAAAGTCCTCAGTTTTCAGTTTAAACTGTGCTTAAATAGTTTGAATCTACACAAGTGAGCTTGTGTTCCACTGACACAACTGAGAGAATTTTTTTCTGGCAAAATGGAAAATTTGATGTTAAAGAAGAGGTGTGTATGGGGATGTATCACATGACTTTGAAGGAATGTAGCATATTTTTGTTCAGACGTTATCCAAACCTGATTTTTCCAAAGTGTTAATCTAGATGCAACGTAGTGTTTGTAGAATTAGGGTATCATCTCCTTTGGATGACTTATTTTCAGTTAGGTGCCTTAAAGTACAGATTCTTAGAGTCACTTAAACCTTAACTGAAGAACCAATTACAGACAATGTATTTTTTCTCTTGGTTGCCAGGATTCAAAAAAAGAAGTGTCACTTACAGAGGGATTTGGACTTAGTGAAAAGGATGACAGGTAAGGCTCATATATTATTATTCATCACTTCTGTTACTCCATATTAATAGCTACAGTATGAATTATGCTTGAGAGACATCTGCCTCTTAAAAGAAAAATAAACCAGTAATCAAAACCAAATGTGTTGCGAAAAATTGAGGACCCTTCCAGTTCTTACACAGGTGAGCTGTGGAATGATCCGTTTCAATAGCTAAGGCAATTAATTAGACCTTTGTATCTGCATCTGGGTGGCATCTCCTGATTCTTCACACTGAGCTGAAGTATGAGGGATTCTTCTTGGGTTATGCCCCTGTGAAGGTTTGTTAGTGCCGCACCTTGCAGATGGCCTGTTACTAGCATTGAATCTAGCTTTGAGTTATCAGGAGCATTGTGAGCTTTTAACAAATGAGTTCACACTTTTTGGCGGAGATTTGCACTGCTTGCACTGGATTACCACAGCTAGGGCATTTCCTCTGCTTCTTTCTAGACACTGATAAATAAGGATATGTAGTTCTTAGTTGCTTAAGAGGGGAAAAAACCAAACAACCCTCTATCACATCTTTCAGTTTAATTGAAGATGTAGAAATGAAAATACGTATAAGCAAAAAATATGGAGCAATTAAAAAAAATGAAATGCTCACTGAAACAGTAGTAATGATTCAGTATTCTGTGCCCCTGAAATGCTGGTTTATATACCAGACCCTACCGTGTGCTCCTGAATTGGTACTTGTGCAGTGTTATTTTTACTGGGTGAGCACCACAGACAGAGCAGGTAGAAAGACAGATAGTATGTCTTTTTGGTAGGTAGGAGATGACTTTCTGTTCATTAAGGCCCAAGTCTTCACCCTTAAGGGCTTGCTTATTTCCTTCAGTTCACTGAAACAGCAAGAGAACTGTAGCACAGGCAATCTCTTAACTAACTTCCTTTTTAAAACAAATATTTATATTTAAGATACAAAACTACTTTGGACTCACACAACTTTCTTTTCCTCCCTTCTATCCTTATTACAGCACTGCAGACATTTCTCATGGAGACATGGATGAAAGCTTCTGGTGAACAATAGCTGCTGCTAATTATTATTATTACAATGTTTTTAAAGCAGCTTTCTGCCTGTAACAAGTGTCAGGCACCAAGATTGCAGACTGTATAATTCTAAACTAATAAAGCTGAGTTTGAGCTGTCTCATCGCTTCAGCCGTTGACTTCAAATAGTGAGTCCCAGTGTGTCACTAACGCAGGAGAAGGCTCATGGATGGGGCAACAGAAAGGTCAAAGCAGTGTGAAGAAATTAATCAGCATGTCCAGGTAGATTGGCTTTGGCATTGAATTCCTGTAATTTCTATAAACAGCTTTTCAAGTGGGGCCCTCCCCCCAACCCCTTCCCCACTGTAGGTCAAAGTAATAGTGTGCAGGTAACAGAAAAATGCAGTCATCATGACCCGTTTTTAAAGGCGTCTCGTAGGGACAAGGTGGCTTGGGTGGTTTCAGAGTGGAGCGTGACAGACCCAAGCCAACATGTCCCTTTTACTGCTGTGGCAGGGGAAGCAAACAGACACTTGTAGAAGCAGCCTTATCTTGTGTATCTCCTTGTTGGTATTAACCACCCCAGAATGGAGAGATTAAAATAAAAGTGCTATTTAACTCATCTTTATTTAAGCTTTGTATTTTGTAGGTAGATTATAGGCAAGATCATTAAACTTTATTTACAGTATAAAATACAGTATTTTTATCAATGAAGTGATTTTGAGTGGCAGCATATATTACAACTTGCACTGCATTTGAGGCTGCTCAGCTTGACCTAGCTACAGGAACATGAAGCCAAGTTTGACAGAATTTAGGGGCAAAAAACAAAGCTCTGTCTTGAATTCATCAGAAGCTGAAACGTGTACCACAAATGTGACAGAAATAAACTTTGCTTTTAGAAATCAAGCTAGTATGTAATCTGATGGCAAGTCTAATTTTACATGCTGCTTAATTTGGTGCTGCAGCAATGCTGGCACTTCAGATATTTCTGAGAGGCCTTCTGTTTGATGCCCAGAACGGGACAGGTAGTGCTTGTTGCATTATGCTGGCCAGGAACTACTACCACCACTTTGTGCTAGAGCCACCTGCTGATTTGCCACGCTGAAGCGTACGCCACCAGGGCCTCCCTTCCCACTACAGGAGCACCTGGATACTCCTGAAGAAAACATCTTTAACTTCAGATAGGGACAGAAAGCCTGAAGGTGCACCAGGACGGAGCAGCTGTAAGTCTGTTTTCAAATAAGCGTACACAAGTGTTTTCTATTATCTACAAATATTTATTTTAACACTTGGATGTAACTACAGGAAGCCCTTGGCACTGATAGAAAATATTGATTCACTGTTAGGTTACAAAAATTTATACATAGCAAAATTTAATGCTCTTTACATAAAAATATTAGACTACTTAAACAAAACTTCAAAAACTCCCAGTCATAGCTACACTGAATTAGAAAAGAATTAGGCTTTAAGACACTGCCTCCATTTTACCCTTATGCAAACACTGGGCTAGAACATCACCTGCATTGCTGTAGAAATGTCTCCTTCATGCAACAGGTAAGAACATACACTAGGCTATTTTGTCATATTTGCTCTACATTGATCAACTTACTTTGCCCCTGTTTTGAAACTGTCAAATTAGACTTCAACATTTAAAAAAAAGATTCTATTTGAAGTTAATACCCCCCAAAATGCCTTTCTCTTAATACTGACTTGAAGGAATTTGTGCTGCCTTTGCTTTATATTCAGCAGTGAAAACTATCAAACCACACGTCAGCTTAACATGGGTATGACTTGAATATTTAATTCTTTCAAATGCTGATGTGTTTTACTCCCCCCCAACATTTATTTATATATATATATCATATAGAACAAACACCAAATATACCATCACTAATACTCAAGATATCACTGAATGCTTCTGAAAAAAAAACATTAATTAGAAGGCAGACTTCTATGGGAAATTACTTTAAAATGGCACCAGTTTGTTTGTTGTTGTGTCTCTGAACACCACATTTTCTTAATGTGCTAATTCATTTGTAAAAAGGAAAACACAGAAGCACTGACTATAATAAATTTGCTAAGCACCAAGATAGAGAAAGGTGGACAACCTGTATTCTGCTTTATGGCTGTAATTTGTATTGTTTGTGTAAATCTCTGCGAACTTTCTCATCCGCTCATTTGGAATAGTCAGATCAGTCTCATTTTAATAAGGTAACACTTTTCACATACTTAAAATGTAGGATAATGGTCTCCTGCTGTTATATAAATGCTAAGACATTTATAGAAAATAAATATTAAGGCAAAGCTGACATTTATTTTCCAAGAAGGGGATCATTATCCAGACCCAGGGATCTACATTCCATTAAATACATAATAAAAAGATTAAAACTTGGGACCTCTACTCAACACTCCTGTGAGCACAGGAGCACAACTGCTTCATTGTAGAAAAGCGTGGCAGAAGAGCAGGGTGCTGTTCCTGCAGCCCAGGCCAGGAACGTTCCAGGGCAGCCCTGCTGCAGCTCGGGAGACTTAGGCCTTTGCCTAAGGTCTGCACAGCGGGCGGCTGCCTTCTGGTGTGGAGCACCTGCCACAGCTCTGTGCAGGGCTCAGGGCTGTAGGAACACATCAAATGCTAAATATCAAAAGTCTGGAAGAAGAATATTTTGGTCACTTATTGTGAAGTGTTGCCTTTTAAAATGCCTGGAATAAAACCTCCATTCTCTGTAAGAAAGGATGGAAGATTACCCACAGGAAGATTTCCCTATGAAAGTGTTCCAGGAGCTGGAATGTGAAGCTTTTGCACTTCTAACTTTGTTTGGTAGACACACATCTGTACTGCAGAGCAGCTATTTGTTGATTTGTCAGAGCTACAGGAATTCTTCTGCGGAATTACTGTGGCAAACATCTATGTGTAAGAATTGAGTTGCTCTTTTGACCGAGACTGGATATCCTGAAGCTCCTGCTCTTCTTTTGCTTTGATATCTTGGTAGGCCTGCATTTTGCTGGCATCCTTTAAGTAGGCCCAGTTAGAAGACAGTATCATGAGGAAGTGGATCTGGAAGAGAAGGGTGAGCATGATGGCTAGTGAGCATGTCAAGAGGCAAAGCAAGCTGCTAGTTAGATTAATAGACGCTCTTTGAAATAACAACCAAAAAAATAAAGTTACTCTACGTTAATAAGCATTCTGTTATGAAAACAAGCACAGAGGCTATTTCCACAGGTCTCTAGGATCTGGCATGCTAACACTTCAGTCAGTTATTCACAATTTAGAGGCAGTTAGTAGAAGAGTAACAAAATGAGCTACAGAGTTGTACGGATCAATTAAAATGCAGAATGGGGGAAGCAGGAAAAAGGTTTTGTACGTGGCGAGACACGGCATCCATAAACTACGAGGTGCTCAGGAGAACTGCTGGCTGAGGTTGTGCTGGTTACGCATATCCAAGCCCAGATCCCGGCAAGTCTTTTCCCCCAACAAGCAGATGAGAATTCCACCCTCCCCCTGGAAAAAGCCTGCAACTGTAAACAGTTTTATTTACGTGAACAAGGCTACAGTAACAGAGTGAAAAATTAAACAACAAAATGTGAATCCAAAACTAAGCAAAAGCATGCAATCTCCGGGTTAAGAAGTCTTAATCATGTACTTTTATAGCTACATTTTAAATTTCCATTGTCTAACCTCAGGTGAAGAGTTTTGTACCACATGTAGCAACCAGTTCTTTTTCGTTTAGTTACCGGGTAGATTTTTTTCTAGTTTGTGCCTTTGTCTCTTCCCGACTTCTTTTCACCACACTTCATGCAACAAAATCTACATCTGAAAACACTGATTCACTTTTTTTTCCTCTTTTCCCTAACAGTGTAAAAAAGTCCCTCTGGCCTATGCATGGTTTTGCTTCCCGTGCAGTCATACTTACATTTTTGAGATCTGGCTACTGAGAAATCAGTTACTAAAGTGCAAGCTGCACAAGAGCAGAAGCTATTTATAAGCTCGTTCTTAACTAGTTCAGGGTCTAAAAGAAAGAATGTGATTGTTTTACGCAGAGCTAATGCAAGGATGCATTTCCTTCCAGAGAGAGTGTGATTTGGCAATTACTTGAAACTGAAGTAAGAGGAAATAATCAACTTCTTCATCCATGGAATCACTGGAAACACAAGCCAATTAGTCCATTGATACCTGGGCTTCTGATTTCTGCCGAAAGGGATTGGCACTACCTTATTACTCCTTTTCTTTTGCATCATATATATTTTGTATGCTTGGGAGGGGGTTGTATTTGATGAAGAATAAATTAACAATTCTGACCCTGAACTGTTCCAGTACTTGTTTTAGAGATGACTGTTAGAAAGCCAGTGGAGACGTGAACTGAAAACATCCCATCTTCAGAAGGATGCTTTATAAACACCCCTACAGTAACTGAATCCTCTCGACATGAAAGAATAGCCAGATCTCATCCACATCATAGTTCATATACAAGAAGTCATTTTATTAATCTGATCAGCTAAATGATGCTTATTGAAGCTATTTACAATTACTGTCACAAAGTTCAGAAAGCTAGACTTTCAGCCTAGGGTGTCAGTGGTATTTCAAGCTACACAATGCAGCTCTTTACTGGGCTTATACAATTTAGAATTTAGTGCAGCAATCTTCCCGACTCTTAAACTTCAAAACAGCATAGTTATATGTAGTAGCCATCATGTAGATCAGCTGGTGGAAGAGAACAAAATACAGGACAGTAAGATACAACAAGGTGACGGCTCAAGCCCACTTGGGCAACTGTCGATACTTTTACAACAGACGTTATTCTGAGCTTCTTCCAGGGTGAAGATGCAAGATAAATCATTTGCCATTTATCCCAGAGAGGATAACCTACATGCAGACCTAAAGGCTATTTCATCTACAAATATTTGGGTTACGCCTTGGTTGGCTGACATGAGGTTAGAAGCTGGCAGCAAAAGGAAGCATTAGATGAATGAATAAGTCATCTCCTTAACATCTCCTTTTTCCAACTGCCATCTGTAAGGGGCATTGCAGAGTTGGACTAGCCAAATTGCCTGGGCCCAGACAAAAAAACCAAGAGGTTACAAGCAACTGATCAAAGAAACTACAAAAATGAAATGAAATAATGGATATAAACCCAGAAATAGTTGGTAGAAGTAGGATTTTCAAAGGATATGCAAAAATTTTCTTTCTAAGGATGAGGGAGGTGGGTTATGATGACTTCTTAGAGCAAATGTTTGGAACCTGCTGACTTGTAATGAGCAAACTGCAGCAGCAAATAATGGTGATTACAGCTCACTTTCCTTAATGTCTACTATCACTATTCTGAAGATACACAAAATTTCATCTTAAAGCATCTTAAGCCTGAAAGGAACATGTCATACAGTAAACCATCAAAAAATACTACCCACCAATGCTATGACGGTGGCACCAGCTCCAGCACAAGCCACAATGAACAGGTGGTAAGACATGTAGAACTAGGGAGAAAGAGGATGTTAAAAACACTGAAGTAAATGAGAATAAGGCAATATGCATTTCAACTGTTCTCAAGGATAAGGATAATAAAGGCATCTTCACTGCAGGGTATTCAAAGCTTTAGAAAATAAAACTGTTCTGAAGTAATTTTCTTTTATTGGATGACCTAACAGAATAATCTCAGTGTTGCGTTTAAATCAATCTCTTTATACTACCAGGATTAGTTTTCTCCAAAGTTTTTTATCAAGCTATTTATTACACTGTGCCTGAGTGACTTGTAGGCAAAAGCTGCCAACAGGTTATGTTTCTGTACCTCATTTGTGTTGCAGATGTTCTCTAGAATCGGGCCACAGGCTTTGCCAGGTACAGCATTCCAAGGGATAATACCTGAAATACCACAGCAAAAGAAACCACTAATTTTAGCAATCAACACACACTTTCTGTTCCTCTCTCCTCTTTTCCGCCCACTTGCCAGTTGTGTTCCCATTCTGGGCATCCGCACGTTGACCAGCAGAGCTCTGAGTTGGCAGGAGGAATTAAAACAACTCACTCAAGATGCGCTTTCTCCTCACACCGAGGCTCGCTGCCAAGGCATGTTCTCAGATGTGGTTTTCCCATATGGCAGCCAAATGGTTGGTTGGGTTTTTGCACTCCAGGTCCAGTCCCATACCGCCTACTCCCCCACTCAGCACTGAAAGGGATGAACTGCACCTCAGAGGTACTTGGCACCTTTCAGGATAGCGCTTACTTACTAGATTAAGATCTATTTGAAATTAGGAGAGTGTGAATATGGAGCTAGACAGTAGGATTACAGGATTTTTTTCTGGTTTAAGTTCTGATAGGTAAAAAGCATTTGGGGAACACTGCTGCAAGGAAATTCAGCCTGCCACACCTCACCTACTCCCAGTTACTTTTCTTAACATGATTGAAAATCTGAAAAGTCAACGGCATCTAGCAGATTTAAAATAACCTAAATTCTTAGACCAGTAACAGATGTAAAGCTTAAGCAAAAGCCATTTGAAACAGGAGAAAACCAGCTTGTCTCCCCCATCGAGCTTGCATTTCAAACTCAGCTGGCTGGAATTAGCAACTCTGCAAGGGGCAGGTCACTGAAATTATCTTAGGATGGTTTGGCTTTCAAAGAGATTTTATAGGATTTACTTTAAAGCCAGCTTCTTCTCTGCAACTGCAATATACACCTGAAGCCTTTTAGCTACTGCTTCCAGCCAAAAACACGAGGGCAGTTCAGTGACACAAGTTGCCAGTTAAGGAGCTGCTCTCTCCCACCACGCACTGAAACCCAAATGATTCTACTGATCAGAGGAACAGCCAAGCCCCATGCGACGCTTGCACAGCTGCCAAACAACAGGGAGAAGCAGAAAGGTGGAGGAGCCCATCTCCTCCCTGCACTCCCAGGCTCTGCTGCTGAAGAAAACGTCTTCCCAGTCTCTTGCTGTCAGTTGCTAAAATAGGTTGCAAGCATTTAACTGATTTGGGACTTCTTGCTTTTAAAATGTCTATATCTCTTCTACTGGACTTACAGTCTGGAAAGGAAAGCAAGCCCGAGCTTCCTTACTTTTTCAACTCTGAATCCGTTTCCTCAGCTGTCATGGTTTGAGCCAGCCGAAACCAGGACATGAGCTTTGAATGCCTTAGTCCAAAGAAAGAAGCATTCCTAGAAAACGCTTGCTAAAATGATGCCAAAAGTCCTGGTGACAAAAGCTCTTCTGCACAAGGGAAGCTGCAAAGATTAACTTCAGACAAAATTCTCCTTAAGGAATGAACTACTTTGAAAAGCCTGACCTATTTTAAGCCCTTGTCCCACTCTCTTCTCTGCTACCTGCACACCTGTGGGATTGCTGTGTCTCATCAAAGGAGCGTTAATTCAATAATTGTTAAGGCAGACTCCCGATTGCAGGTTTTTGGTCTTTTAAACTGAAAGTAACTGTTAGTGCAAAGTTCAGGTGCTAGCTTCCTATTTAAATATAAAACCAGCTTTTTGAAAGGAAAGAATTTATACACGTGGGTTCAAAAACCAGGATCTGGTTATCTATTTCTCTGCACTGGTTCCAAGCAGTTTATTTTGAGGCTGATTTATTTTTAAACCTAATATTACAGTATTGGAAACCGCCTCAAAATCACTTTAGATAAATGACTTGCCAGTTCAGTTAAACTGATTGCATCTGGAAAGAGATCAGTGTAATCTGAATTAATTAGAAAAGTAATAGCACATTCAAAGATACAAGATGCTTTTGCATTTGGTTCATTTGATAAGGCTGAGACAAAACTACTGAAGACAGTCCAAGGAGAAAGGATAAAGCATTTAATCAGGATTAAAATGAGTACCGTATTGCCTGATATCCACGCAGATCTGGTCCCCTGGAACTGTCACATTTGTCTGAAGAGATTTGATGACTTCGCAAGTTGACCATATGTTATAGAACATAAAGACAGGCACAGCAGAGAAGCCAAAGACCCCAAGCCAGGCCACTCCAAGCACATAGGTGAGGAAAACAAACTGGGCAGAGAAAACACAAGCACTTCACATTTATTCTTTGAAAAGAACACTTGAATTTTCCTTAACAAGGGTTCAAAATAATCTTTAAGCATACTTTTGGAAATCAAGGAATATAAAACATTTGATTTCCAAGCATGAATAAAATCAGTATTCTCGTTGCTTACAATTACATCGGTAGTTTAAGTGCTACTGAGAAAGTAATTCAGGCATTTCCTTTTTCATCAGCCTGCTTGAGCAAACAGCTTGCCCTCCTGAAAGAGCAGTCCATTAATTCCTCAAGATTCTCAGCTAAGCAGGGATGCTGGTTGTAGGCTAAACCCAATAACATTCCAACAAAAATCAATTCAAGGAGTTTTTTAATTAACTGTAGTATACCAGCATTTCTATGCAAGTTGCAAATCAAAACAACAGAGCGAATCGATGCTCACAGAGCTCTCCCATACTGATTTATTGAAGTCAATTTTGAATGTAACATTTGAGAATGCCTATTTTTTAAAACATACCACAACCTTTACAGCAGATCAGAAGGATTCAGTTGATCTAATACACATTTGCAAAGAAGAAAATGAGTTAACATCACCTTAGAGAACCATGGATTTTCCATTGAAATTTGCTGGTTTGGATTGGCTCTTTTTAAAAATAAAAAAATTACTACCTGCATTTTCTTTGGTAATATTACAAAGTATGGCACTCATTGCTCTGGAAATTTCCAGCTTCCCACCCCCACCCACTGGACTTCTTCCCTTTTCCCTCTGCTTCTAAGTTTCATGATAAAACTGAATTCCCTGGCATCAGTTCCTAGCTCCCTCATCCTGGTGAGACAAGGATTTGGATCCCACTTGGAAAGTGGGGGAACACTGTGATATCTTCTGTGTTCCCTGTTCACTGTTATTTAACTGTAGGTGTACTGGAAAGGCTTTACTTGCACTGGTGTTGCACTGTCTTACTTGTGTGCCAGAGAGCAACAGTGAGGATGCAAAAGGCTCTGATGCGGGAGAAGGTTCTCTCAGCCTCACCCAGAAATGACAGATTGAACTAATGCTGCAGTGGTGGAAGTTCATATCCTCATAGGTTTTTATCCAGATGTGCCGAACAATACTGCAAACATTACAGCAAAGGTTGAGCGGTTGGTGAGGCTTTCCAGTCAGTGCAGGCGGTGTGTGGGGAGGTGGGAGAGCTTGCAAACTAAGTCACACAAATAACCCAGCTAGCCTTTAATTCATACACAACTGAACTCAAATACCCTATTTCATATTAGATAGTGCCACACAAGAGACCTGTGTGTTTTACGTGAGAATTGAGAATTCTCGCTTTGGATTTTGGATAAATGGACCAGTTTACAGGATTTTTATAGGTCCACATTTATGATGAGTATGTCTGCATATGTATATGTGGAAGTGTTCATGCAAGGAAGAACATAAAGCCTTTAACTCCTAAAATAGCCAGGAGAAAACACACTCATTCTCACATTTAATGTGATAACTGTGGGAAATGGCTGTTTTGCATTACCACAGCCAAAACAAATAATTTATGGAAGTTGGAAGTCTGTCTTCTGCTATAACCTTATGCAAGATAGAAGGGACAGCGTTTTATGACCTCGCTCAGTAATGTAACAGAGACAGGAGTAGATTAAAGGAGGAAAAGTTAATAAAAATAAGTCCTGTATATCTAAAAGCTTGTTGTCCATATGCAGCTGTGGCCAACATTCTGTTAAGATATTTTATCTCCCGCAAATCTTGTTCTGACCCTGGTGTTTTAAGCAGCTCTACCACTACACAGTAGCATACAGGCATTTTTGCGCCATGACTGTCACCACTAACACTAATGTGTATAACCAGAGCTCCAAGCAATTATTCAGCTGCTAAATTCTCTCCTTCACTTGTGTGGACAAATATGGGCAAACATGAAAATACATTTTTTCTGTCATATTTCTATGTGTCACGCTGGTATTTGTGTAAGCAGCTGACAATCACGTGCCTGCAGCTACTCAACTTCACAAGCAATTCTCTGCAGTAATTAGATGCACATATGTTTATGTTTCTACTATAGTTTGGATCTTTGGAAAATACTGCTATAGATCTAATTTTGCTCCTCAGTGAAGATCACACTTGCTAGAAAAAAAAAGCGAGTTAATAGCTGCTTGACTGGAAAATGATTGTATATCTTCTTTTTATTAGCTCTTGGATAATTCAGTAAATACCCAACAGCACAGTGGAAAAATTGTTAACCCTCTTGAAAATAAATATGCATTTCTTTTGTATTTAACCAGCTGAAAGTACATATTTTTAAAGTACAGGATATAGATTGTATATTAAAATGCAACAATCACATCAAAAGCCTCTTCTCTTTTCACCCACACTTTCCCGTGGGCGATCTGTCATACTGCTTAGCTTCCTCCATAACTACAAGCTTTGAATTCAGATTTTCAGAAATAGCTTTGAAATCCTGTCTCAGAAACATGGTTATGTTTCTGTTCTTGCAGAGTGCGCCCTGGGGGGCAATGTGGAGGAAAATCTGAAGTTTTATTTTTAGCTGAACTTTGTTTAAAATTTTGTTCCCATACAGAAGTATATTGAAGGGAAGATGGATTGTAACTTTAAGGCTTTAAGTGTTTCAGCTTTGCAAGAAAGACTCCCTGATATATCTATCATAGAATCATTGAATGGTTTGAGTTGAAAAGAACCTTAAGCTCATCTAGTTCCAACCCCCCTGCCACAGGCAGGGACACCTTCCACTACAGCAATTTTCTCAAAGCCCCATCCAACCGGGCCTTGAATGCTGCCAGAGATAGAGCATTCACCTCTGTGCCTTTTGCCATCTGCAAACGGAAGACAGCAATACTTGATTCAAGTGCAAAGATGCTGTGAAGCTTCACTCTTTACTGTCTGAAGGATCCAGACATCCTCAAGCAGAATTGACTGTAGAAGTCATTTGAATTTAGTTTGCTATTTAAATAGCTCTGCAGACCACAGCCTTTTTACAGTCAGCCTTCAAGCATCACTAGTGTGCTCCATGTTTAAAAGCACAAACTTTGTTTTGTTTTAAAATTAGCAGTCTCCAGACCACTGGGTTCAGCTTTCTGACATGGGAGGCCATGGTAGCGCCCTGAGAGTACACCTGCAGAATCTGGATTTGACCAAGCATCCTCGGAGCTCAAGGAAGGACCAGCAACAGGGATTGGCTCTGACCACCCATAAGGAGTTAAAGAAAGAAGGAAGCGATATGCTGTTGTTCAGAAAGCCAGGAGTTAAACCAAGCTCAACAGGTTTTGGCTAAGTGAGGACTACTGTTCTCATTTCTGATACTGCTTACCATTCCACTGATGCAGCGGCCACAAGCTGTTGTTTTGAACTCTCCATGCAGCTCCTTCACAGCACTTGTTGTATAAAAACCTTCTGCCAAAAGGATTATTCCGTATAAGAAGAAAAATGATGCAATGCCATAAATTACATACTGCATTAGCTGAATTCTAAAATGGAAAAGAAAAGATAATTAGATTTCACTCCTATAAAAACACAGTCAGTCCTCCCAAATTATAATAGGTATAAGATAACTCCTTTTCCAGAAATACAGTTCAAGGCTCTTTAATGCATTTTAAGCAAGCAGACTGCAAAAGAGGCCAGCGTGGCTATCCCAGTTCTAAGCAATACTAATGTGCATTAGCCTTGTACATGCTTGGGGCACATGGTATAAGCACTCAGTCAGATATTACCTGAAAAAGTTCTCAATTCCTTAAAGATCTCTTATGTCTAGAATAGGTAAATGGAAAGAGCAATTTCTAAATATTATCAATCAGATTCAGTATCTGAAGCTAATTGTTTTGGAGGACCAGAATGTCAGATCTTCCACACATCACTTTTGGCCTCCAAAAGTCATACGTTGCTATTAGCACAACTTCTCCAGAACTTACACCTTCTTAAAAGTAATTTGGGATGGCTATTTTGGATGAAGCTATTCAAAGAACAGAGGTTAATTTTATAAATCCATGATGCCAGTTTTCTAAGGATAAATACATTTTTCCTCAGATGTCTTACCACTCTCCACTAAGTAGCTACTAACATAGATCTCCAAGGAGCATCTGCATGTTTTAGCTTAATTTAATGACTACCATTTATATAGCTGAATGTTATCCAGACAGATAGCACATCCCTTGTACCAAAATCAGATCTTGCTCATTTAAAATTATATGTGGGAAGTGTTATGCTTGTTTTCCAAACTGATTAAAAATAACAGGATAAATCTGTTGCACCTGTGCTGTAAAGCATGAAAAAATTAAGCCAAGATTTGAGAGAGTACAGCAGAATTCATTTCACCATCATTAACACTGTAGGAGAAGCTCAATGCATGTTACTAGAAATTAATAATATGAAAATCAGTTTTAAAAAATCTGTTCCAAAGGGTGCCTTACTAGTATCGTCTATTTTATGTCTCTGTGGCCTTAAATTATTTGCCCTTTATTATCACCTCCCTTGCCTTTCTTTCTAGGCCTCTACCAAGTCCAAGACCTCAGCTGCTTTGGTAGGAATGACACGTTTCCCCGGGTGCTGATGCTGTCTTGACACGAAATAATTGCCAAGAATAGTCCAAAATTTTAAAGTTGCTGCCTTTTATGGCTGCCTTGGTGATTTCTATTTTGCTTAAATGAAGACTGATATAAGAACAGGGTGTTTTGTTATTTGGTTGCTGAAGAATGGCCATTTGCTAAATTTTGTGGCTAACTGCAGAGTTCTCATGGCTCGTGCACTGGAGCTGTGGATGCAGTACCCAGTCCCAGGGCGTAAGGGTGGGCAGTGCTGGGATGAGGGACCCTGGCCGGGTTCAGTCCACATGGCAGGCCTGGACAAGAGGGTTCTGCAAGGCGGGGAAGCCCTGAAATGGTGCTGCAAGGCTGATGCCAGTGATCCCAGGAGATGGGAAGGGGTCAGCTGCACATGCAAACCAGCAGGTCTATGTCTGCAACCATATAGAAGCAGTGAGGAAAGGAAAGAAAAGAAAAAGAAACACATGAGAATAAAGTGTGTCAAGCTGGACCCTCATAGCAAAGTCTCCAAATAACATCCTAAAAGCTGGGTCTTAAGGGCAGGTAAGCAAAGCACGCATGCCTTGTTTGCTGCCAGTGCATCCCTCTGCACACAACGCAGTGTGCACCACGTAGGCCCCCTCATCACAGAGGCAGGTGGCCTGCACAGGGACCCCTCCCAAAGCCTTCAGATGGCTTTCAGGTTTTGGCTGCCCTCCTTCATGCTGTCCCGCTGCCTGGGGTTGGCTGTGCACTGTGCCTGTGGCTGGTGCTGGCCTACGGTAAGCAGCAGGCAAGATGATGAACCCAGACCCAGTCAGCATATCAGCGCTGGTGTGCAGATGTCATGAATCACAATGTGTGCAAACTTCCTCAGTGCCATCACACAAAAGCCTTTTCAAACTCTGGCAGTTCAAGTGGAGGAACCACACAAGACCCAGTGTGTTCAGACCATCGGCCCAGAGCATGGGACCCCTGCACCCCTCAGTGCCAAGGGGGGAGAGAGACTCATGCCAATGGGGCTGGGTGCTTGAATGCAGGCCCTGATGCAGGCCTCCAGGCCTCACTCTGGTTTCATGGAGAAGCCTCGGGAGCACAAAAGCCCCAGATATTTCACAATAAATCTACCCTCTTTCAGATTAAAATTGTTACCCCTGTTCTGTCACTACAAGCCCTGGTGAAAAGCATTTCTACATCTTTCTTATAGGCCCCCTTTAAGTACTAGATGGCTGCTATATGGTTTCTGTGGAACCTTCCCTTCTCCAGGCTGAACAAGCCCAACTCTCTCAGCCTGTCTCCATAGGACAGGTGTTACAGCCCTCTGACTATATTCATGGTCCTTCTCTGGACTTGCTCTGCCAAGTCCACGTCCTTCTTATGTGGGAACTCCAGAGCTGAACACAGGACTCCAGGTGAGGAATCACAAGAGCAGAGTGGAGAAGGAGAATCACCTCTCTTGACCTCCTGTTCATGCTCCTTTTGATGCAGCCCAGGATACAGTTGGCTATTTGGGCTGTGGGCACAGATCATCAGCTCATGTCTGAATTTTCATCCACCAGTGTCCCCAAGTCCTTCTCCACATGGCTGCTCTCAATTCCTTCCTCCCCCAGTCTGTACTGGGCATTGCCCTGACGCAGGTGCAGGACCTTGCACTTGGCCTTGTTAACCCTCATGAGGTTTGCAGGGCCCCACTCTTCAAGACTGTCAAGGTCCCTGCAGATGGCATCCAGAGTGAACTCTGGATGGCATTCCCTCAAGTGAACTAACTGCACCACTCATCTTGGTGTCATCTACAAACCTGCTGAGGGTGGCTGCACTCAATCCCACTGCCTATGGCATTGATGAAGATACTAAACAGTGTTGGTCACAATATAAACAGGTAAAGCAGCACACACACTCTGGTTCTTTGTGTGAGAACACCGAGAAGACACTGAGCGCTTTGGACAAACAAACAATCTAATACTCAGGGATGGAGACTGGGTTTTGAATCCATTTCTACCCATTTAGCATGAGGGTATTATGAGGAAAAATGGAAATGGGAGGCATACTTACACTTCACTCAGCAAAGCATGGTCACTGGCAGTCGTGGAGAAGTGCTGCTCCAGGATAGATACAGTTCCCGTGAGCGCCACATGGCCGCAACCACAAAACAATGCAACCCCCGAGAAGCAGAGAATGGTTGCCACGAGTGAAGCATATGGCACTCCTCCTAGGCACTTAATGCAACATTCAAAGCAACCTAAACAGAAGAGAGAAAGCAGAAGAAACGTTATAAGCAAAAAGCAAATTATGAGGAAAAGAACATCCGTCCTCCACTTGGTAAAAGCCACAGGGAGTAAAAGGCCCAGGCATTGACATGCTAAGCAAAAATCTATAGGTGGTGCAAGACAACATCACCCTCTAAAGCAGTGACCTACAGATCTGTTGGTGTGGACTCAATGCCCAGAAAGTGTGCTGAGTGCTCCTGTCTTTACAGGATCAAGAGATCGATGAGACAGCCTATGAAATGGAAAAAGAAAAAAAATCACTTGTCTAAAGTGATCCATTGCAACTCAGCTGCTCACACAGAGCTCACCACGTTTCAGCATTACTAATCGCAGGAGCACCAGCTACACTGGCGCCATTCAGGAAGCCAGAGAAGTAAATACTCAAGACAAGACAACCTTTTGGAAAGTGCCTTTTGCACTTGGAAGAGAAACACATTTAAGTCAGCAAAACTTAGCCACCTTACACTCTCCCATGGCTCCCAAGCATCTTTTTGTATAAATCTGCATGAGGTTATAGGGATACAGGTATTTTAACACCTGAAAAATTGAACGGGAGTCAAACAGTAGCAATTTATATTGAGAGCAGTGAGATGCAGCTGTGTTACACAGACAACACATTTCCAGCTTTATAGGATACACTGGATTTTCAGTGATCCCTGAACAGTCTGCAGTAGCATAATCATAATTTTAATGAAATATATCATTTAAGCAGTCTGAGTTAACAAACCGCCATCCTCCCTCCTCCAAACTGCTGTTTTCCAAACACTGCAATAAGGAGGTTGCAGCTGAATTGCCAGGTTCCTTCCAACCATGTGGCCTGAAAACCCATCTGCTTGCAGGGCTGGGAAATGCAAATTGGAAACAAACACAGCTTTTAACTGCGCTATAATGGTAATGGCAATCCATACCAATTCATTACTTCAGGGTGATGGCATTAAGCTGCCTCCATTAATGTGCATTTCATACAACTGCGCAAAACACAAGCCATTAAGACAATGCTTAATGGAGTGACCAGCATTGCACATTGCAGGAACAGCCCACTGCTTCTCTGGGAAGGTGCTAAATGGACAAAGCTTTTGAAGGCAAGGAGACAGCTGGTGAGCATGTACATCACATCACATCACATCTTCCCACCCCAAAAATTCTTCACAAAGATCAGCAAGTCTCCATCCGCCACATGAGGCAAGTTTATTTTTATCCCCTCTCCCTTTCCCGCTAATGAATGAGTTGCAGAGCAGGCACTTCCGTGGTACACTGGGGAATAATATGCATCCGACAATTGAAAGCCTTCTCGTTTCACAAGTGGGAAACTCTTCTTTTAGAGAGCTACTAGCAAGTGTCCTGGTCAGGCTTAAGCAGCTATCACCACCAAAATGACTTATGAAATGCCACTTCACTAACTGCAAATAAGATTTAATTGTCTAGAAACAAGCCTGGGAAGATTTTATAGTCAAGCCCACAGCTGGAGTCCATTCAGTAGGAACTATCTTCATGACAAAAATAGTGCCGAATGAACAAACACTGCAGCTTAGCAGTGACAGGGCAAAGAAAGTCTAAATGCATGCTATGAGAGGAAATCATCTCTGGGGCTCATTTTACCACAGAGGTCCCGAGATGAGTTCAGACACCAGAGCTTGCAGAGCAACACTCTGCATTGGGGAATCTGCCTGAGTGCAGCTTACGAGCCATATGCAACAGCAGCCATACATTGTGAGGCTGGCTCGCCTCCACAGCATCTGCTCCCAGGTCAGGCCCAAACCTCCAAGAGTTAATCCAAGGAATGCTTGCACCTGGCACAGGATTAGCAGTGAAGGATTATCTAAGAGCAACCACGCTCTCACCCAGCAGGCAACGCTCAACACACATGGCCACAGGCCATCACAAAACAAATAGACTTTCGAGCCACACTCCTAAAGGAGATGGTGACTAAATGCCAGATCGTTGCTTGGTGTGGAGGAGAACCTAATCATGCTGATCCACAGATTGCTTTGCAGAAGGATCCCATCAAAGACAGGAAAGAAAAACAGCTGGAAGCAAAGCCAAGGGACTGTCAAGGTCTGAAAGAAAAGCTGATGGTTTCAGAAAATGGGAGCAGCCTGCATGACAAAACTAAACATTGGTGTAGACCCAGGACTGATGATTAACAACCTACACTGCACAGCCAGCTTTCCAGGCCACTGGCAGAATTCACCCTGGAGAATTTGCTAGACCCCTTCCCCAAACACGACAACATCTGCCACTAATCCACAAACCCTTAAACACAACCCAACAGTGGCAAAGCTCCTCTCATCACCCAGCGCCATGCAGCTGCACAAAGCAACTTTGTGACCATACTCTTTATGTTTTCCTCTATAGCTGAAGTGAAAAAGCATTACAATATTTAGGTGACCTTCATTTTATCAGTGCAGATGATGGCCAAGGGATGCTCTGAGAGGTGGCTAAAGCAACCACACTATTTCGGGTAAGGCAAAGAAAACTGCCTAAATGTGGAGCTGCAGAAACTACTCACTTTTGCAGCATGTCTAAAGCAGAAAGCAGAGGGACTCCAGTTCATGTGGAAATAGTAGGCTGTGAGTTTGCAAGCACAGGAAGCATCCCAAACCAGCAGACAGCATGCATCCATACATAGTCATTCTGCACCCAAATTGACAGCAGAGCTGCACAGCTTCCTTCCAGAAGGTAACTAACTGCTGCACGACACAACCTCTTCATGGTGCTGAGGCTGCCAGATCCTCAACAGCTCCTATTGTGAACACTCTTTATGAGCAACTTAAATTCATGCTTAGCCTGAGAAGTATAGCTGGGTTTATAATCTTGTTTTAAAGCAAGCCTAAAACAGTACTGCCAAGAGCAGCTTTCAAAACCAGCTAAATTTGAAGCTCATGAAACATTTCTATATGCTTACCAAGTTTCCCAAGAAAACACTAAAGCAAATCAAAGAATTGCTGAAAAAAATGAAAGCTTTCCAGGAAACCTGCTTTATGATCTCTCTCTGTAACCCCAAGTCAGCAAGTATCTTCATATCATACAACTGAAAACCCATGATGATGTTTGCCTAGTTCATGTTCAGAAAGTAACTTGCTAATGCACTGATGACAACTGCAGGCTGGAGGCCTATGAACTCCAGCTGACAAAAATAAGCAGTATTAAAATAAGTTTAGTTCCAATTTTCTGCTAGTTTTTCCTTTCCATATGGCCAATACGCTGTACTTTTCAGCTGTACATCCACTTCCAATGCTACAGTGTAGAACGATTTAAATATGAAACTGTACAGCACAAACACACATCACTGCATCTCCCCTTTCAATGGCCATTTTGTGCAAGGCATCACTAGAACCTTTTGTGCAACTCAGCAGAATAAAAACATTTTTTGTCCTCAGGCTGGCGAGAGCAGTTGCCATGGAGGCAGGTTAATAACAGCCCAATGATTTGCCCAGAGCTGCCTGCGATCTTGGCTACAGATTTAACACACTCTCAGAAGGAGGCCAGCTAAAACAAGGACTGAGATTATTCTCTAGGGAATGAATGCTATTAAACACACACACACACACACACAAATATTCTTGCTAAAGGACAAAAATAAAGAGAAGAGAATAAACAGGAACCGCCTATTCTTTTAATCTCCTGGAAACTATCAGTCACAGGAAATTGGTAAAGGATGAACCTACATATGTACACAAACGGGCAATTGGTTGCTTAATGTATGAAGAATAATTATACAACCTACCCAGCAGTGTACAGGCTATTGCATATATGCAGGGGCTTAGCCATTCAATTTCCCATGTCAAATGGCAATTGTGTGGCTAAACCTTCTTTGATACTTTAAGTACGGCTTTAAGATTTAAACTCAGAAAAGCAAGGTAATGCAGAATTAATAGAAAATGGTCTTAAAAAAAAAAAAAAAGGCAATTCTCTGACTCTAACTCATCCTATTAGGGTCAATTCTGTGCTTCGGAAAGTACAGAAGACAATGCAATGGGATCAGGTAGCTGTCCTGAGTATTCCCAGGGCTTGCTTTAGGAAGTTCACACATCAGCTCTCAAAGCCAGACTTCAAAAGCTGAGACAGACAAAGCCATCCCTCAAAGCAAAGCATGTAAAGCATGAAGTAAGGGAAGAGTGTCCATACCTCCTGGACAGAAAACCAGCCTGTCCTCTAACATCCCAAACTCCTCCTAGGTTGAATTAGTCCCTCAGTGTATCTCAGGTATGAATCATTGATCTCATAGTCAAAGTTACTGTGGAACAAAAAAATAAGGAACAAAGCCTGAAAAGTGGTTTGAAAACCTCTCAGTTTCAAGGATCTAAACCTCCAGGCTCTCAGGGCCATTTTCCGAGTTAGTTCCAACTCTCTTTTCCTTAGAAGTTCCATTAGTTTCCCTCCCATAAATCAATCTTGCTGTTCTGAAAGATGAAGCAATGAGCACCATTTTTTCTCATCTCTTTCTGTAACCATGTAATGAATTTCTAGAAATCCTGGCATGTTGGACACTTGCTCAGTTAACATGTGGCAAAAATTACATGACATGTTCCACCACAGAACCAAGATATCTGTTGGCTTCATCACCACAGTGCAGGGAGCATGTGTGGAGAAAGTGCTCTAACAAAGAGAATGTTGCAAAAGACCCAAGGAAAGGAAAAGCAGTAGATAATACCTTAAATTAAAGCACTAGATAGCATCTTAAATGCAGCCATCACATGTAAATCAAGCTCATTATTACATATCCACAGGAGCCTGGTGTTGGGAGCATTATTCCCAATTCACAAATAAATGTGAGAGGTCAGCACTTCAGATTCACCTCCCATTTCCCCAGTGCTGAAGATTATTCAATATCAAGACTGCATAATAGCATTGGAGTCCTAAACCACCATGGATCTTTGTCAGAAAATGAACTGTAAGTCAGTGAAAGCAAATGCTCGTTTTACTTTCTGCCACTGACTGTATTTTTTAAAATCTCCATTATGAATGGCTT